CAGAAACTCGTAGAGTGAGCCAAATGGAATCATATCAAGATGCCCACCAAGTGGTTGATAAAATGCTTAGTCTTCATATCCTTTTGTGAATTATGAATGGTTAGCATCAAGGCATGATTTAGGCTTGCGATTGCAACCTACTAATATTATGAAACACCTAGTTTCATAAATAAATTTTCTTGTGGTTTGATTCTAAATATGGAAATCCACCCTTGCGAAAACCTTATGACACCATGTCACCTACTTTGGAGATTAAGTGTGGCTGAGTAGTATTATCCCCCATAGTTTCATTTAATGACGATCTTTCCATTTACGGTGTATGGTTTGGTGTTTGTTTGCTTGTATGGTTGATCCAAACCACCCTTAACTTGAGCCATTGGTGAATGACTCCATTCATGGGGTGACTTCGCAATGTGGAGCACCAATCCTATTGGCCCCAACTAGTGCCTGGACCTCGATTATTTTCCTGCCCTCCACTACCAATCAATGATCTCTACTGAAGTGGCACATCCCATAATAGCAGAGGCTCCTCAACATTGATGATTATATCTTCATCAAGTTGTACATGGATTTCTACTCCACGTACCAGCATCACTAGCCACACGGTCGCCACCTTGACCCATTTGTCCAGTTATTTTTTGAAGGTATCCAGCACACCGTGGGCTATGACACTTGAGCTCACGCGCATGAGGATGAGGGAGTTGGAGTTCACTAGGATGGTGAACCCGCAACAAATGTACAATGGTGTCTACATGGAGGAGTACAGTGATCAGAGGTTTGAATCTAGGCACATGAGGGCCAACCTCTACAGACAGCCGTGGAGGATCTTTCACATACTCCTAACACATTTCATGCTACCGAGTGCCAAGACTGAGGGGCTGGTGACCTTATGAGGGATTTTTTCCCTCCAAACACTAAGCACGTCTCGTGATGATCTACATCTTTGCTCCATGGTGGCAACCTCCTTCTCCCAAGTATTAGGGTGCAAGAGGGTCTACACCTTGTATATGGACCCATCATCACAAGCTTGTCTCATTTCTTCGGGGTCGACACCACCATCTGCACCATGATCGTCGAGTCTGAAATCTTTTTAGAGGAAACCCTCTCACACATGGGACTCATCAATACCAGAGGCGAGTTTGTTTCATTGTCTATTGCAGCCTGCTGCTCTATTGATGCCAGCAGCACCAATGACAGATAGTCTGAAGAGGTTGCTCATAGGGCACCACCCACCACCGTCTGGCCCGAGCCGGACCGTCTTCTTCAAAATCCAAAACGGGCACCTCTTCTTCTACCTCGCTTAGGGCTCGACTCATCAACATTTAGGGCAAGTTTTCTAGCTTCTCGAACTCTCTCAACCGAGAGAGGGATGTCCGCCATCATTCACACTATATGGAGTAGACGCTCATGGCCCACCATGGGCTTGCATTCAGTAGACGAGGCATGGCACAGTACCACCACCTTCTTTTTCTCCATCTTGACTCATATGTTTTATGTCTCTGTGTTTGAGTTTGAACTATTTTATTTTTATTTTCCTTAGACTACAAATATTATGTGTGTAATAAATGTCGTGGGAATGTGAATGAATGATTTGGCATGTCTATTGAATGCTTTGGAGTCTTGTTATTGCCCAAATTTAAAAAAATTGAGGGCTCCAAGCACATGTGGATGAATGAATGAAAGTTGGCCTACATTGAGAGTGTTTTGGAACTTAGATTATATGCTAAGATTTTCAAATTATAGGGGTTCCAAACACATTGTCCCATTGATGATTCATGCTCGTTGTGCTTTGAATTGTTAGATGTAGTGATGATGTGCATTCTAGGGAGGATTGTGTAGTGCTATGGAGGATGTCGTTAAATGAGGGGTTTTGCTTCCATGTCCTCTATGGTTGGTTGATATAATTTACGATCGAGGATAAGACAAATGTGGTGGAGTCTCTCCCATTTTTGGACTCAAAAAGTTTTTACAAAAGGTGCCTCTAGTTTTGAATATAATTTAAATGAAAGATAGTGTCTCATGGGAGTGTCAACAGGTCATAATGTTGAAGTTAAGCCGTGAAAGGGCTTCTATTTCGGAACAAAGTGCTCTTGTGAGGATGTTTTTGGGGAAATTTCGGATAACTTTCTAGCGTCCAATCTTCATCTAACCTTCCATATTTCTCTAAAACACTTCTCCTCCTCATGGGACTTGATTGAGAAGATACACTTCTTCTGCTCAAGTTGAGAGACCAGACACTTCTTGGCGCTTTTGTCGGAAAGGTCCCAATCCGAGTTTGTGTTTCATATCAAGGCGGAGGTGAGATTTCTTGTCTCTAGTTGACCTTGGAAGTTGCTAATTGACCCTCTACCAAAGTTCTATATTACATATCATTGTGAGAGTCTTGCAAGTTGCACAAGTTTGAGCTAGTTTTGGTTGGGAACAAGCAAACGGTTAAGTGTGGAGAAGTTTGATTCGTGCCTAATTATACGCATTTTACACTAGGTTGTGTATGTTTGAGCGTGTTTCGTATCCTAGCAGGTGAAATTGGCAAAAAGAACTAGAGTCTGACAAAAGTGAGCCAAAACGGGATAAAATGGAGAAAAGTGTAAAAACTCACCGTCCAGAGAGATTTCCAATGGCGATGCTGTGACATCGACATCAAAACTGTGAAGATTTCACAAGATTCCAGGAGCATGATGTTGTCTTGCGGGCATGTACAAATGTCACGGTCTGCCAATCGTGATATCAACAGTAAAACTGCAAGAATTGCAAAGCTCACGGCCCTGACGTGCAAGTATGAAATTTGCACTTTCTGGCAATATAAATGAGCAGAAATTAGATTTCAAAGGGAGGAGTCTAGAGGGAGAAAGGGCATCTACTGGGTATAGAGTGAAAGTGACAAAGAAGATCCCTATTGTGATAATTGGAACTTCGAATCACCATTGGAGTTCAAATCCATCACCAAGGTTTGAAGATTGAGTTGCGAGAAAAAGAACCCAACTTTCTTGGATGTTTTCTTTTCTTTATTTGGTATATTTCTCTCTCTCATCATAATCTAAACTTTCTATCACTTGAGTGTTGTGGAATTCTAGTTGTATGTGTTAGATTAGATGAATGATTGATTTCCTTGTTTGATGGACTCTTGATTTATATAGATTTTTTGTATATCATAAATTGTGTTGAGTATTGATAAAATCTTCTCAATTGTTGTGATTACCCTAAGGTAGAGAAATACAATTAGGTTAATTAGATCATTTACATCATTCTTCATTGATTGCTTGATGGATCGAGCGCGAAATCGGGCTTCGATAGCATAATGGATCGAATTCCAATAGAGAAAATCTATAAGAAACGCCTTAGACATTTTATTTCGCCGAATGTGTAAACTCTCCCTAACATCAAAAGAAATTTACTCAAATATAAGACATGATATCATCTCACAATTGTCATACCATTATGGTAAAACTGAAGAGTACCATCATACAACTATCATAACGTGATACTACCATAATATGATAGTGGTAAGGCGACAATAAACTTTTAAAAAAAATATCGAAATGATGTCATCTTGATCTTTTACACTTATTTGTAAAAAAATCATTTTTTTACATTGACAAGACTTCATTATCTTACCAATGCCCAAATCATATAATAGTGGTAAACCTGAATAATACCATCTCACTGTTGTAATATACTTATCCCAAATGAGTGTTAAGAAGGAGGGAAGATACCTAATATACCCCTCCCTTTTTAATTACTAAGTTATTATTTATTAATTTTCATTTCTCCCTTCTCTTTCAAGCTCTAGCAGCCGCTGATTGAAGATCCGCAACCGCCACATTCCTGTTCTAAACTCCAGGATCCATCGAGAATTCAGAACTCGACAACGGTCCACTTCCTCCCTACAACCCCTTCTTTGGTGCGCCTAGGGGAGTTTGATTTTTGAATCTACTTTCGATAGTTGATCTTGAGAATTGATTGTTGTTGTTTTGGGAAATTCATTGGTGGGTTATCAGAGGATTTCAGATTTTATTTTTCTCCTGTGAAGTTGGAGTTGATTTTGGGCATTTAGGTTGGTGGTTGAACTTGAATTTGGGGGATCCGGATGGTGGCGGTGGCGGAGTTGGTGGCGTTCAGCGATGGTGGTGGTCTGGGGGGAACGCTTTTGTTGGGGGAGATGGAAGGAAAATAAAAAGAATAATAATCCTGATTAATTAATTTTTTATGAAATAAATATTATAAAATAAGTAAGGGTAAACATGTCATTTCTTATCCCATTTAACGGTGATCGGATGGAAATTTTGACAGAAAGACGTGTTTGTTACATGCTTATAGTATATTTGTGCAAATAAATATATTGGGGTATATACTTATATTATTATTTTACTACTATGATAAAGACTCTACAATGCCATTATACCAATATCATGATATTACCATTTTCAACTCCAGTTTGTTCGTTATTTTGTATCAGTATGGTTCAACATTCTTCAACATTTGTTGGTGGGCTTATAATAGTGTTTGATACGATTTCAGCTATTGAAGAAAAAGTATTTCCCAATGCCGACCCAAACATAAGTTTAGTATCAACTACATATTTTCTTCCCTTAAAAAACTACATATATTCTTGAAACAAAAAAAAATTTATTTTGCCTTTATAATAAAACACAGATTTCAAAAGCATTACCGTCATCTCACTCTCAGCCTCAGTCTGGACTCCGTCATTCATCCTCCAGATCTCTCTTGTTTTTTGACCCCTTAGAGGTATGTGTCATCCCCTCAATGTCTTGTAATGTTGTAATTCTGTGCATTACAATTTCTTTGCGGATGGCTATGTACACTAAGGAAATATGAAAATTTTGTTCCTTTCCATGATTTTGGAAGCCCATACAATGTTGGTTTCTGTCTTCGTTGCCGGATTGGTGTAGTTTAAGTTCAAGCGATTTCACATTGATCAGCTATCGATCGGCGAATTAGGCGAATAGAGGAACGTATACTTCAAAATTTGTTGGCAGAAAATGATTCTGAGGGAGAGGAAGACAGTGACAGTGGCAGCTGGGCGCAGTTCATCATCACTAGTGATGTTGATCATAGTATTTTTGGGATTTTTCTTTGCGACGTACAATATAGTTTCCACGGTGATGCGGCACAGAACACACGACCAGTCTCTAATTGATCACGACCCTGTAGTCAAAATGCCTCAAGATATGTGGAAACCGAAGCATCCCAAGGCTCCATTTCATGTCGCCATGACTGCAACGGACTCTATTTACAATCAGTGGCAATGCCGAATCATGTACTACTGGTACAAGAGGATAAAAGACCACCCGATTTCTGAGATGGGCGGGTTCACTCGGATACTGCACTCCGGGAAACCCGACAGCTTGATGGATGAGATCCCTACTATAGTGGTTGATCCTCTTCCTCCAGGTATGGATCAGGTAATTAGTTTTGCTCCATTTCCAAATACTTTTAGTTCACTAGACAAGTACTTTATGTATGTCACATATATATCATATCTAAAAATTGAATTAATTGAAGCAGGGGTATGTTGTTCTGAACAGACCATGGGCCTTTGTGCAGTGGTTGGAGAAGGAGGTGATTGAGGAAGAGTATGAGATTTACCTCTGGATGTTAATTTGTTCCTATTTCTTGGTTTGTGGTGATGGTACAATACAACCAAGTTTGACATTGTTTTGTTATACATGTGTTTTAGTTACATACTAATGGCGGAGCCAGATCATATCTTCGTAAGTCCCCTCCCAAACTTGTCAAATGAAGGCGTCCTCGCAGCTTTCCCATTTTTCTACATCAAGCCTCTAGAGAATGCAGACATCGTTAGGAAGTATTTTCGAGAGGAAATGGGGCCTATCTCCAATGTCGACCCAATTGGTAACTCTCCTGTCATTATTAGCAAGGTAATCAAACCCCATTGCTATTATGGATGATTTTATGAACTGTTTTTTCTTTAACAACTGGGTGACTTATGGGTTGGGACAACAATTAAGATTGGAATTCCTTGTGGGATTAGGATTTGCTGCAAAAGATTGCTCCCACATGGATGAATGTCTCTATCAGAATGAAAAGTGACCCCGACACAGACAGAGCATTTGGATGGGTGTTGGAAATGTAGTCTCTATTTCCTTATATAAGGTTCATGTTGATTGGTAATTGTTTTTCTATTAATTAATGTTGTTGGGATTAAAAAAATGAAGGTACGCATACGCAATTGCATCAGCTTTACATGGAGTGCAACACATTCTTCGAAAGGACTTCATGTTGCAGGTTTGAGTTGGAGAGTAAGTTTCCTTATGAGGTCTAGCGTTATGGGTTAGGTGGTTCTGACTGAAGGTTACTTCATTTGTAGCCTCCATTCGATCGAGAAATCGGAAAGAAGTTCATCCTTCATTTTACCTATGGGTGTGACTACACCTTCAAGGTGAGACTGAATCTACCAATGTCATGGCTGGAAGCTAGGATTACTATCATTAGTATTTGGCTATGGTAGTTTGAGATTCATCATCTAGCATATAATTGTTGTGTTGAGTCAGTTTTAGTTATTGTTTAGGAATCGTACAAGTGTTTAACATAGTTCTTTACAAAATAGGTTATTGAGTCCTAGTCCTATCAGAGAAGGATTAGTTTTTTGGTTTCTTCAATAAATATGTTCATCATCTTTCAATTATTTCAAGAATAAGAACGAGATTGATTTAGATAATTTAATATGCTTATACTATACCTAGCAGGGCGAGCTGACATATGGTAAAATAGGAGAATGGAGATTCGATAAGAGATCATATGTACGAGAAGCTCCTCCTAGGAATCTCCCTTTGCCTCCAAAAGGCGTTCCTGAAAGTGTGGTATGTGACGAATGAACATGGACAGCACAAAACACCCTGCCTCTTTAAATCCTTCATTTTTTACCATCGATTTGCGTCATGTGCAGGTCACTCTTGTAAAGATGGTGAATGAAGCGACCGAAAACATTCCTAACTGGGGTGCATAATTCAATATTTAAGTGGTCGGCGCTCGACCTCTGCTCAAAATAGAATTGTAAAGGTCCCATTAAATTCTTTTGTTTCATCAGGCACAACGTTGATGTAGTTGGTGGTTACAATGACATAGAATGAGTGAAATGGAAATCACTTGAATTTTCGTTCATCTCACTTTATCATTGTTCATAAAAGAATCTCACCATGAACTTATTGTTCGTGTTTGACGACTCGTGCCTATGCACCTAACAGGTAAATAGTATGCATGTTCTAAAAGTAAATAATTTCAAAACTGTCAAATTCTTTCTGCTGAAGAAGCTCAGACAAGGTATTAAAAATAGAAGATCATACACACTGTTGGTGTTATCGAGATACTTCTAAAGTGATGTAGCTGTATTTAATGCTATTGTTATTGGGGCAATATTTATAACAAAAGCATTAGGCAACTCACTAGATCAATTGAACAACAAAATGCATCCTTAGGTTTAGTCTAAACACCCCCACACTTAAGTGTTACAATGTAGAAACTAGAGGTGCATAGGTAAAAATGCATGTTTTCATGACTAGGATCGAGCTCTAGATGCATAAATACAAGGGTGCCATGTCTTTTAAGAGATTTCTAAACCCTGACCTAAGTCTAGAATCAATTCATTAGACAACAACCAAAGCTTGAACTCTTGGCTCAAAAAGCGTATCGAAGCACAAAATCAAAAGTGAGCCTAACATTCAAACTTAAGGAACATGCATCAGGGAGTCAATCCTATGACATAAACACACTCCTAAGGGTCTATCTTAATCAAACAAGTTCAATTGAAAAGCAATAGACCAAGAAAAACAAGTTCTATGTGGTTTGGGTAATTCATCGAGCACTTGGTGGGAGACATTCAAACTCCACAAATTCATAAAAATAAAGCCCACCAATGCCATACCCTAGCCATAAGTAGCTTAATTGGTAGGCTAGGCTAGCACACATGCTCAATATGACAACAATTGCAACCATTCCTAAGCAACTAAATAGTCTCCAACAATCATTCATATATTACTTGACATAGAAGGGATTCATTCACTAGTTAAAACTATGAAACTACATAAAGCGAAGTCAAACATGCAAGTTTTTCAAAGGGTAAGGAAATGCAAACCGAAGGTGACCTGGATTTGTAAAAAAAAAAATATATATGAGGGGAGCTCTCCCCTCTATCTCAGGTTGCAGCAGAAATCGAGAAAAGCTGATCAGACTTCAATCAATTCAATAAACATGCATCATTCGATTAAAACCAAACAGTATAATCATCCCAAGTCATTACAATCAAATCCCTAACACAAGAAACTAGGGTTCTTCATACCCAAGTAAGAGAAGGGTTCTACTCCATAGAGAGAGAGAAGAAAACAGTAATCAGAGTAGTCATACTCATAAAGATGAGGAAAATCTGCTCTGGGATGATGATTTCCACTCCTATGACGATCTCCAAGCTCGATTTGACGAAACCCAGCTCCAAGATAGCTTCTAGGGTGTGTTCTTCGTACTTTCTCTCTCTAGGGCTTTGTTTTTGCTCTGAAAATCCGATTCTCCCACTTTTGGCTCGAAATTGGCTGAAAAACCAAGATTTCCCGACTCACACGGGCAGGCCACACGGCCGTGTGGCTCACCCAGTTGCCCGTGTGAGTCAAAACGCGTCGTATCAATTAAGTCGAAACTCAGGCTTCCCGCACGGCCAGGGTTACACGGTCGTGTGGATTTCCTGCTCTGCCCGTGTTTGCTCTCGACGAAAATCACACGGCCACAATTGTAAGTTGCACGGCCGTGTGATGTCCAGGACTGCCCGTGCGGCTTCCTTAGCACCTCGCCACGCGTCTGATCTTCGTCCAATCGACCCCAAACTCGCTCCCAAGCCTCCATTCACGTACTAGGACCTGAAATATCACAAACAAGCACAACCTAGCGTGAAATCGGCCTAAAACACGAGAAATAAAATCTCAAACGGTGTAAGAACAGGGGTAAAAACATGTGTAATTAACGGTCTATCAAACTCCCCCACACTTAACCGTTTGCTTGTCCCCAAGCAAACCAAGTCAGACACAAGGTAAGCTTACATATTTCAATCAACCAACATTGGGGACAAGTCATAAAGGCACAGAACACGTGAATCGTACTGGTTTTCAAGCATCAACACATGAACAACTTCAATAGCAACCTGGACAACCACCACAAAGGACATTCGAGTGCAGCAAAATCGAGCAAAGGAAGAGTCTCCCTTCTATTCACTAACCAACCTAGACTTGACTCAACCACTCACTCAAAACAGTCAACTCATGCATCCAACTCAAGACATCAGAATAGAGACCGAGCAATCTAGGTCCTCACCGGGGTACAAGAGTATAAAGAATATGAAAATGAATCACTCACTCTCGACCAGTGGGGTCAGGACAATTTAATGCGAAAAATGCGCATGCTATTTCTCTCAATCCCTAACATCTCTTCACCATGATGGCAGCCTCTAAATGCTAGAGTTCACATATGGGGTGTCACCACTAACTAATCAGGAGGTCTTAGACACAGGTTCAAATGACTGGCTAGGGTCTTGGACATGGGGAAAAGGCCTTTTAAGTGGCGGAATTATTCATAGCACAAGGTTCCACATTTCCAAACCCACACGATCACAGTCAAACAAACCAGTATTTCCTTCCTGCTATTCTGCAATACTCAATATCTCAAGAGCACAAGAGCGAAGGAGGTATAAACATCAGCATTTCCAAGCCAGACTGCTAAGAAACACTACTTAATGGGCATTATTCAGATTTTTGGTAGTGGCTCTCTTTTGCTTTCAATTTTTCTTTGTTTTTCTTCCATTTTTCTTTTCATTTCTTAAAAGAGCCACCACTTCTGCACATATTTCAAACACCTGCCCAACTTTTAAGCACTACCTCCAACCCTCACATCAAATTTAGCAGAAACAGCAGAGAATATGTAAAAACCACTCTGTGGAACCTTCTAAAAGATGCAAAAAGGGTGATTTTTCATTATAGACCAAAAGAACGGATAACACACGGCTCAAAGGGGCTGACTAGGGGATATGACACATCAGGACAGTCAATTTTGGTCGTGGGCTAATCCTATGCCCACATCATCTTAGCTAGTGACAACGTGAATGCTACACATCATGGAAGAGGGATCTATCTCACAAGAAAGAAACGAGCAGGCTCAAATCTCACATGGCTACCTATATGCTCTATCTCACATTCTGATACCCTGAACTAGATGCATAAACGACTGTCAAGAACAAGTGATCAATCCAAGTCACAGTTGGTAAGCAAACAGTTGAAAAACTGAACCCCTACATAATTCTACTGCACATCTCAGTCCTCATCATAGGTTGTCCTAGTCACAATCAAGCTGTCATGCATCAATCCGAAAACCATTCAATTCATCAATCAAAACACAGTGACAATATGATAAAATCCACACGGCCGTGCGAAATTATGTTATGCCCGTGTCGGCCACACGGCCAGGCCAAGTCAAACCACACGGCCGTGCAAATTTGCACTTTTGGCCGTGTGCAATTTGCCGAGAGCTCACACGGCCAAGGAATAAAATCCACACGGCCGTGCGATAATATGGCCTGGCCGTGTGAGCTGCTGGAGCCCCGAAATCAACCTGTTTTCACCAAAAAACGACATTCGACTCTGGAAAAACATCTCAAGACTCAAAAAAACACAAAAAACAAAAAGAAAAAAGTAAGAAAATGCAAACCTCGGTGGGGTTGCCTCCCCACAAGCGCTTCTTTACCGTCTTTTAGCTGTACGCCAGTATGGATGCTCAGAGAAGTGTAGGATCAGGTGCCTTCAAGAGCGGATCCACATCGCTCTTGAGGTACAACTTCAAATGGTGGCCATGCACGCGACGAATGTGGCCACCAGCATTAGCCAGCTCGACTTGGCCATCCGGCAAGATGCAAGCGAGTGAATACTCGGATGGCCAAGGTGGGGGCGGGACCAGCTCGCAGTGGTCTCCGGCTCTCTTTCGAGCAGGCTTAGCTGCCTGCAGTTTCGGCCGCCACTCCTCCTTGGTCTGTTCTTTTGATGACGGAGTGGTCAGGAGTGGCGGCGAAGGTGTGGGAGGCGGATCCTGCAAAATAGGCAGCACAGAAGGATACACGACAGACTCGTGCTCCTGGTGAGATACAACATGCAGAGGTGACGAAGCAGGTAGAGTATTAGCAATTGAAAACATTATTCTCTCCTCGCCGTCCCTCAAAACTAAGGTCCCATCATGCACATCTATGAGAGCCTTGGCGGTGGCCAGGAAAGGTGATAGACCGTTATTTATACATGTTTTTACCCCTGTTCTTAAACCGTTTGATGTATTGATTCTCGTGTTTTAGGCCGATTTCACGCTAGGTTGTGCTTGGTTGTGATATTTCAGGTCCTAGGACGTGAATGAAGGCTTAGGAGCGAGTCTGGGGTCGGTTGGACGAAGATCGGACGAATGGCGAGGTTTCAAGGAAGCTGCACGGCCAGGCCAGGGAGTCGCACGGCCGTGCAAGTGAGCAAGATGGCCGTGCGGGATTATGCGAGAGCACGCACGGGCAACCCATGAAAATCGCACGGCCGTGCAACATACAATTGTGGCCGTGTGACTTTTGCCGAGGCCACGCACGGGCAAACCATGAAATCCACACGGCCGTGCACCCTGGCCGTGTGAGGAGCCTAAGATCGAACTAAACCATACGACGCGTTTTGAGCCGCACGGCCAAAATGGTGATATGCACGGCCGTGCACCCTGGCCGTGCGAGTCGGGAAATCCTGGTTTTAAAGCCTATTCCGAGCCAAAAGTAGGGGATTCGAGTTTTTGAGAGACAGAGCGGTTCCTAGAGAGAGAAAGCGACGAACAAGAGTCTCCAAGTGCCCTAGCTTAATCTTCAACACCATTGGAGCTTGGCTTGAGCTTGGAGAAGTGCCGATTCAACGTCCAGGAGCAGAAATCCATCTTCACAGTATGATTTCCGCGTCTGATTCTGCTTTTGCTTCTTTCTCCATGGAGTAGTTCTCCCATTCATCTAGGTGTGGGAAACCCT